CATACCTTTGTACCTTGGTCGTACGGTAATCACCTAGGCTCAGCAGCCTGCCAGCAGCACCGAACTGCATTGCATGAGGAAGTGGGGCCACTGGCGGTTGCAATACCGGTAGTTGGAATTAAAACTCAAATCCTCATGTTTTTGACCTAATACGGGCACATTTTGCATTGGTACAGCCTACAGGTGCCCACCCGGGAAGCTTATAAGCAGGCACACCGTTACGGGAATATGACACTTGTCAGAGTCTTGCTCAGCTTTGGCCGTTGTCCCCACCTTGTCCAGACCGGATCCGAGTGTCAGACTTGGAACCCAATTGGCAGAGGATCGTCCTTCATTGTCACATTTTAAGGGTACCCTTCTCGGCTTGGGCAAGGCGTTGCAAAGGACCTCTGTAGGTTGGCAATTGCAGCGAGGGAAGGACGCACTTTGGTGGCGGAAGTGGCAGGAAGTGCAAGACCGGAGACGGGTGGAATAATGAGAGCGCTGGCCGCAGCATCAAAAATGGCTGCTTGCTGACCCGGGACGCCTGCGCAGGGGGCAAGGGCATGTGGCGGGTATGGGACGGCCTCTAGTCGTAGAGAAAGCAAGCCAAGAGGGTTGCCACCTGAGTCATTGCTACACTGCAAAGGTGTGCTCAATAGACTCGGCTAGGTAGAGCAAGGTTCCATTCTGTGAGCCAGACGAAGCAGATTGCACGAGACTATGGATGATAATAGCGTCGATGACATCATCAACCGATTGCTTGATGTGAGAACAGGGCGCCCTGGCAAGCAAGTGCAGCTCTCGGAGGCGGAGATTCGCAGCCTGTGTATGACCTCACGGGAGATCTTCCTGCAGCAGCCGGTGCTCCTGGAGCTGGAGGCGCCAATCAAGATATGCGGTGAGGGTGTATTGCCAATTGCAGCGCACAAAACCCTAAACTGTGAAGTCCTCCCTCCCAGCAGCCGCCTGTGCCCGTTACCACCTGCGGTGGCCCCACTGTATCGCCAGCAGCGCTAGGGTTTGCAAGCAGGCTGGATTTTTGCTGGGGCAGGCGGTTGGGGTGCCTGTGTTTGACTGCAACAGTTCATGCCAGGAGTATGCTCAATGTGAGGTGTTGAGTTGCCTCTTTCCCCGGTTGCTTGACTGGCGCTGTGTGTGTGCAGGGGATATCCATGGGCAGTACTCGGATCTGCTGCGGCTGTTTGAGTATGGGGGCTTCCCACCTGAGGCCAACTATCTTTTCTTGGGAGACTACGTGGACCGCGGCAAGCAGAGCCTAGAAACCATCTGCCTGCTGCTGGCATACAAGATCAAGTACCCGGAAAACTTCTTTCTGCTGCGCGGCAACCACGAGTGCGCGAGCATCAACCGGATATACGGCTTCTACGACGAGTGCAAGCGGCGCTACAACATCCGGCTCTGGAAGGTCTTCACCGACTGCTTCAACTGCCTCCCCGTGGCTGCACTGATCGACGAGAAGATTCTGTGCATGCACGGCGGCCTCTCCCCCGAGCTGCGCAGCCTGGACCAGATCAAGAAGATTGCGCGCCCCACCGACGTCCCCGACGCGGGCCTGCTGTGCGACCTGCTGTGGGCGGACCCCGACAAGGAGGTGCAGGGATGGGGGGACAACGACCGGGGCGTGTCCTACACCTTTGGCAGCGACACCGTGCAGGAGTTCCTGCAGAAGCAGGACCTCGACCTCATCTGCCGAGCGCACCAGGTCAGCCGCCGCCCCAACACTGCCACCCTGCTGCGCTGCGCTGATGCCCGCTTGATCACTGCTGCCGCCGTGCAGCCACTGTCGGCCCGGTCCTGCGGGGCCCCTGGACTGCTTTACCACAGGTTGATTTGTGCATCCCTCTATGCATGCCCAGTGCGGTGCTGCTCCCATGGCACTGGGCCCCTGGTCATCCCGTGTGCACACCTGCCCTGGGCGGTGCAAGCTGTCCTGATGCCAGCCCCAGTGTGATGCCCTGCTGCTTGCGCGGCCATCCCGTGTGCTGCGGCTGCGCTGGGTGGGTGGCTGACGCGCGGGGGTGTGGCGTGGCGGCGGTGCAGGTGGTGGAGGACGGGTATGAGTTCTTTGCCAAGCGGCAGCTGGTGACCATCTTCTCCGCGCCCAACTACTGCGGCGAGTTTGACAACGCGGGGGCCATGATGAGCGTGGACGAGACCCTCATGTGCTCCTTCCAGATCCTCAAGCCGGCGGAGAAGAAGGGCAAGTTCGGAGGTGCATCCGCGTACGGAGGGGGACGGCCAGGGACACCACCTCGAAAAGCAATTTGACAGGTGAGATCGTGTGCCTCGCTTGAACCGTTGAAGAGGGGGCTGTTGTTGGCTGCACTGCGAGGAAGAAGAACATGGCTGCACTCTGAGCAAGAAGTGTTCTTTGGAAGGGCGAAAGAGAAAGGAGCGTTGTTGGCACAAGGTGGGCCTGCGCTGTGGGGGGCTGATTGATGATCCGACATCATGCTTGTTGTCTTTGATGTTCCAGCCTCTCATGCCAACTTTTTCAACTTCGTATTATCACCACTGAAAAAGGGTGAAGGAGATTTGATGTCGGAAACCAGAAGCATGGACTCAAGGGAAAGTGCTTGGCTGCGCGTCGAGGTCTGCACTTTCGACACCTCCTGCGTGGCAAGCGTGCTGATAGGAGACTTTGCATTCTTTCCTTCCCTATACTGTTTCCGCTAATGCAATGGCCACGACATTGTTCTATTAACCTCTCCTGTCGCTCAAGATTTCATAGAGTTGAAAATTGTCATGCAGGTGCGCGACATTCTCGGAGCAGCCAGCGGGCAGTGTGTTAGCAGCGATCAGGCAACGGCCGACTGCGCCAGTGCCTCATTATCGAAAGCCACGGGGCCAGACTCTGGTGGAGGCCGCCGGAGGGTTCGACCTACAACCCTTCTCCTGTAAAAATGTTCTCAAGGGTCTCACCCTTGTGTTGGTTGGACGAGTTAAGCACCATATGGTGCGCTTCAGTCGACTCGTGTCCTTTTGAAGAGGTGTAGGGCGGATATTTGAATCATCTTGGACAAAAAGGTTTCTATATGTGACGATCACAACTAGGTTAAAGAGAGTGTTTGCAAGTTGTTGTCGCCATTATACATATGTCGGTCCACATATAATTTGTCAACATCTTTTACAATAGTTGGTAAGTGGCTTCTGCTTTGATGCGTGCTGCGTGTGCCCCTTTCATGGTTAGCAAAAGTCACAAAGCTAAACTCGCTTACGGAAAACTGCAACAAGACTTGATCCGTCACTCAGGATGACCATGATCTTTTTGTTGCACCAAGTCGACTTCTTATGCGGTTCTGGATTTTTGCGATAGAATGTTGGTAACCGATTGGAACAAGCACCAGCGCGATTATATGGCATTGCATGTCATCCCGGATACATTTATCTATGACTCGCTCATAATGTACATATGCGATGCAAACGCCCCGGTCGGAGGCTAGTCGCATTACGCAAGCTTTCCCGTGTTAACATCTGATTGATGCTTCCGAGACAACCTTGGTTCCAATATTCGTAATGTCGCGTTGATCTTTTCTTTAATCAATCCTTCAATATCAGAGACGTGGCTTAGCTGAGCATGAATTGCCGACATACCAGCGTGATACCAGCCTTTTCCACCTGAAGATTACTTCTGGCATGTTTGAGGTTTCATTGAAGCGATTGCAATCTAAACTAGACAAACCTCCCAATGCAGTGCGCCCGGAATATGGTTCAGGGTAGGACGCCCGGGCTGCGTAGTACACCATAATTCATGCAGTCTCTTATCCACCTTGTCGAGCGTGCGCGCTTCTAGGGACATGCGAAGTGAGCACGGGGACCCGTTATTTGAGGGCGTGACCAACTCAAAACGGTGGTGTTTGTCATTTCAAAGGCGTCAAAATCCGTGCCAAATATTTGTCTGAAAAACAGTCATCGGTGATGAGTACGTATCACAAAGCCTCTTAGTAATTATTGCAAGGTCATAATACGTAATTAGTATTATCTTGACTGCGGCCTTAAAATATAGAAAGTGGGAGCCCGGTCGAGTCGACCATCAAACCCTTTCTAATGCTACTAGAGCGTTTAGGCGCTCTAATTGTCCATAGCTTGACAAACATAAATCATTTAGCTAAATAAGGCCTTAAATTGGCATATACTATAAAGTTGCTTTAGTATATTCAACATACAATCCCTAACCTAGGCGCAAGCATTTGAAGTGATTGGGGTTGCAGGACTCAGAATCATTGACGATGGTTCGCCATTATTCGTTAGTTGATTACTTTGTTGGCCGGTTGTTTTGTCTTTATCACATACATATTCTTCCATAGCTAGCGTTTAGAATTGCCAGTTTCAAGTATGCGGCAGCGAATGACGCGGATCATATAGAAGCAATGACAAAACTTGACGAATTTTGACAGAATGAAGTCGATAGAGAACATGCGCGCAAAAAACTATATTGGCTCGAATTGAGTAGTGTCCTAACCTTCTTATTAATCAAGGATATCGATAAGATTCTGCGTATACTTCGTATAGTATAATCACACGTTGGCTCGCATGCATAAAACTGGTCAAGCTTTCATCTGATCTATTATTCTTAATTTCTCGCAATAAACTCATACAAAGTAAGAAACATTTTTACATTACGCATATCGAATTTTCGAAGTTTCAATTTAGCTACCGGCATTGACGTGGTAACTCGAGAAACCGTCATAAGGATCTTATGCATGATTGTTAACGCCGTGCTCTATAGGCACATTGCTCGGTTGCTAGAATGAGCTGATAGAGCCAATTCATATCTCTATATGACTACCTTGTCATTGTTTGTCCCAGAGACAGAGACTCTGCGCGGCAAGATCTCGGTTATTGCTGCCCAAGACGGCAAGTACTTGTTAACAGGTATGTAAGATGTACTTGACTTCCGACCCAATGCATTATGATCCCCAACTTAGTAGGGCCCGCGCTCTACGTACAAGCGGCCCAATTTTATTTATGCGTAAATCCGGCGGGGGCCATTGTAAGATGATGGTCTAGGGTTAACCATGCATCGATTCGTCAATTTGATTGTGGGTCGCTAGAAGTGAATCAAGAGCTTGATCCCTTGATGAGCAGATCGATCACTTCACACCATGAAACATTTTGTAATCTGGGCGCCCATTAATCAATCACCTAGAGGACAAATGGCATTTGAAATGTGCATGAATTGCCCTTCGATTAAGTTGGCGACATGTTCCTCGTTTTGAGTCTTGTCTTGATTAAGCTACGATTGCTTACGGAGGAAAGTATGGCATCAGCTTTGCATACAGATATTGCAATCTCGATCATTTCGATATATGCATCACGATTGTGCCTCATGCATATTTGCTTCCACCCTATCTCCTTAGCAACAATGCGGCAACGATCCAATCGAAATCGACTCGATCGAACCCAAACTAGGTGTGTGTATATAATCAAGACCGTGAAGCGCGTGACAAATATTGACAGTGGTTTGTTTCAGCTTTTTGTGTGATGCCGACTCGGGCATTGTTACAACATGTAAAGCACTCAAGGAAGAGTTGGTCAATGTGATATATCAGTAAAACATGCATGTGTTGAAAGTTCGATGAAAACCATGGCGATCCACCAAAGATATTCTCCACAGATGGAAGTCACAAGATGTGCCACTGTGTTTCGAAAGTGTTGCAGATTCGGCCAATGCAGCATGCTCCGCTTAGGGGGAACTCCGATACTGCAAAGATGGAGTCAGGAATAAATTAGATAACAACCTCGGATCCGGACGTTTGTGCCGTCACAGACGCGAGCGAGGGGTGCAGCCGAAAGTCAGGTGCAGCCGTAGAGCGCCTGGTGACCATCAGGGAGCACGGACAGAGGGCGTACCTGCGACCATCTCGTCGACGTACTGCGCCTCGACCTTGCCGTGCGCCATGGCGCCCACCTGCAGCAGCAGCAGCCAAAACGGCGGGCAGTGCGTCAGCGCGAGTTGTGCCGCACCGGCTGCTCTTGGACGCCCTGTCTAGCGAGGCAAGGGGCGGAGGGCCAGGTCGGGACCGGGCCGCCGGGGTGCCCCAAGCGGGGCTTGTGCTCACTGAGAAGCCGCTTCATGATTAGTGCTGAGAGAGGTATGCTCAAGACGACTCGTCGGTCTGCTCCAGTGGCGCTGCTGTGACTAAAGGGGCAGTTGCGCAGCCGGCGCGCAGGAGCCCCCCATCACCGCATGGCGCGGGGCAGGGCGGGCGGGGTTGGGGCGAGGCGGGGCGCACTCACCACAAAGGCGACGGTGGACGCGGGCGGCAACGCGGCAACGTACTGCGGCAGGAAGACGACCTTGGGGGAGCTGTACGAGAGGCCTGCACGCAGCCACACCGCGCGCGCCTCAGTGGCAGAGCCTCTACTCAGGACGAGCGGAGCACAGCAGGCAGAGGCGCACCAGGCGCAGTGGGAAGCTGGGCAGGCCACAAGTGAGGCAGAGCAGAGGGTGGGGGCTGACCGACGCGGCGCGTGGCGGGGGGCAGGTACTTGGTGACGGGGTGCTTGACGACGCGCAGCAGCTTGTCGGGGCCGTTGCTGGCGCGGATGCTCAGCTTCTGCAGCAGCTGGACTGCACGCCCGGCCAGGCAGCGCGGCACGGTCAGCGGGGGGAGAGGACGGTGCGAGGAAAGAAGGAGAGCAGCCGTAGGAACAAAGGAGTTCGATTCTGAAGACCATCTAGAGAATGGAGGACATGGACCAAACACAAGGGCACTCCTTGCGAATGACAGATACCACCAAGTAGAGGTGCCTCAGGGTAGCAGGTGCTGGCGGGGCCGGCGGCTCTCCCTCGCCCCACCGGACACAGCCGGGCAGCAGGGGGCGGCGCGCGAGAGTGGCGCGTGGGGCGGGGCCCGTACCCATGAGGCCGCAGAAGCGGCGGAAGGTGCGCGGGATGCGCAGGTGCGGGTTGACCTGGATGAGCACGTTCTTCTCGGTGGCCACGAAGATGGCCCGCACGCGGCCGGCCTTGTTGAGCGGGCTGTCCAGGATGGCCAGCAGCTCCTGGTGCAGAATGTCGGGGCGGTACAGTGCGGGGTCGCGCCCGTGCTTGCGCAAGAAGTTGGCGTGGTCGTCGCAGTTGAGCAGCACGTACCCCTGCACCCACACCCGCGTGCGCCGCGCTCAGAAAAACAACGAAGTGCACCCCTTTTGGGTCCGCCTTCAAGACAGCTGCAGTACTGAGGACTGGGTTTGTAGCGGCACCAGTAGCCTGGTGGGGACGGGCGCCAGCAAGGCGTTCGCAGCGGGTGGCCTGCCCCCTGAAAGTCCAGTGCCAGGCTGTAACCCACTGCGAGCATGGCCGGCCCTCCCCTGCTCCGCCCCGGGCATGGTGGCACACTCATCAATGGACCGCCCCCCACTGCGTCAACCGGTGGCGCCAGCCCCCCCATTGGTGGCGGCCCAGGGCACGTGGGGCTCACCTTGCCGACCTTGGCCGCCTCCAGGGACGCCTTCTCCAGGATGAAGATCACTCCGCCCTCAGCATCGCCACCGGCCGTGCTGGCCCCCTCCCCGCTCGGCACCCGCGCTGGCCGTTCTTCTGGCGGCCCTGCATCGGGGGCCTCCGCCATGGCGACTCGTACGCAGGGGCCCTGCTCACCCCCGCAGTCAGTGGGGGGTTCAACAGGAAAGGCTAGACCGAGAGGACCCTGTGAGCAATGATGCGCTGCCTGCTAGAAAAGATGAGTTACTTCGACGTACCTGCATCAGAATCAATGGCAAATCGGAGGGGCAACACCACTACTATTGCCCCAAACAACAAGCAGCCACGTGAAGAGACTACGAGACGCAGAAGACGGCTGAATGAGCTTTCAGAACGCTGAAAATGGTCTTCGATCAAACAAATGCAAATGTCTCATGGTTCAACTTTCCTATGCGCGGATCATTTGACTCTGGCACCCGAGAAAGACTCTGAGACGGTGAACACCAGTAGACTCGCCATCCTAGTTTTGGGACCCAGGCGGTAACGACAAAATGACCATTGCCATTGGCCTCAGCCTGAGTCCGAGTCAGTGCCATTGCCATCATCATTGGCATTGGCCTGCCAATGCCAATAGCTGGCGCCTTGACTCTTGAGGCTTGCGGTCAAGCATTGCGTGCATCAATCACTTCTCTAGGACTACCGTAGCTGGCATTCGCCTTCCGCCCGCTGCTTGTGCCAGAGTGCTGCGAGTTCTTTTCTTGCTATTCTACAGGACGTGCTCGTCTGATCGCTGACGTTTGGCGTCCGAGTGTGTGTCTGCTTCGGTGGTGCAGCATGGCGGGGGGAGGGGAGGGGCGGGCCCCCAAGCGGCGGGGTTTGCCTTCGGGTATTAAAAACAAGGTGAAGCGGGGCGAGGTGCACGCGCGGGTGCAGCAGGAGAAGAAGAAGGAGAAGAAGCAGCGGGTGCTCAAGAGGAAAAAGGAGGAAGAGGCGGCCGTCGCGCTGGGCGAAGCGGTGAGCACGCCGCGTGATTGACGAGGGGGGAGAGGCCGGGGAGGGAGAGACCTGCTCGTCGCCCCATGCTTCTGGAACCTGTGTCTTTCTTGTTTGTGGACAAACCCACTGAATGACTGACACTCAGGCCGTGTCTCTTGCTCTTGCCAGCCACCCCCGAAGAAAATCCCCCGGACCATTGAGGGGACACGCGAGGTGGACGACACCCTGGTGCGCCCGGATGATCAGGAGGTACGCACCAGTGCATACGGCGTCCACTGGTCCTGTGGCGCCACACGCTAGTGGGCTGAAGCTGCCAGCGGGGGCGCACTCGCTTGCACTTCTTTGAGACTGCTTGCGCTGATGCTCCTTGCGATTGGCGGGGGACTCCCACCTTGCATTGCTGACCATGCAGCAGGCAGGGCAAGCCAGGCCGCCACCTAGGGACCTTCTCTGGGTCTGAGCATCGTGGTCCTGCTAGAGCGCCCTGCTGCTGAGGCGCGTCCGGTTGCGTGGGGGTGCAGCTGCAGGCGGAGGAGGCGCAGGACGAGTTCAGCGGCCACTTTGCGCGTGCGGTGGCGCCCAAGGTGCTGGTGACCACGTGCCGGCGCCCGTCCAAGGGCCTGCTGCGCTTTGTGGCGGAGCTGCTGGGCCTGCTCCCCGGCGCGCACTTCTACAAGCGCGCCGACTACGCGGTCAAGCAGATGGTGCAGTACGCCACCGCGCGCGGCTTCACTGCGCTGCTCGTGCTGCACGAGAACCGCAAGCGGCCCAACGGGCTGCTCCTCGTCAGCCTGCCCGCGGGCCCCACCGCGCACTTCCGCCTCAGCAGCCTCAAGCTGCGCGCCGACATCCCCGGCGCGGGCCGCCCCACGCGCCACATCCCCGAGCTCATCCTCAACAACTTCTCCACGCGCCTCGGCCTGCGCGTCGGCAGGTATGCCGCCCCCACCCCCACCATAGAGCAGGGCAAGTGCAGGCACTCCCTTGAGACAGGCGCTGCTGAGGATGCTGCGGGGAGCGGGGCGGGCATGCCGACGGGGAGGTGGCCGCAGGTGCGCCGGGCCTCACTGGTGCGCGTGTGTGTGCGGCTGGCGTGCAGGCAGCTGGCGTCGCTGTTCCCGCAGGCGCCGCAATTCCGCGGGCGGCGCGTGGTGACGTTCCACAACCAGCGCGACTACATCTTTGTGCGGCACCACCGGTACATCTTTGAGGAGCGCGGCGGGCGCAAGGGCGGGGCCGACCCTGGCGCGCCCGTGCTGGCGCGGCTGCAGGAGTGCGGGCCGCGCTTCACGCTCAAGCTGCTCAGCCTGCAGAAGGGCACCTTCGACTCCAAGGCTGGCGAGTACGAGTGGGCGCACAAGGTGAGCAAGGCGACCTGCCCCACTCTATCCTAACGCGCATGCTCTGATGGCGCTGCACGACGGGGCGTGGCGGTGCGGCAGGGCGGCCGCGGGCTGTGGGCGCTGACGGGGGTGCGGTGTGGCTGTGCAGTCGGACATGGACACGAGCCGGCGGCGCTTCTTCCTGTGAGCTGGCTGCAGGCGCGGGGCCAGGCACCGCGGACCCTGAGCAGGCTAGCGAGCCTGCGCAACCGATGACGTGCCGGCAGAACCCTCGAACAACTCCGTTTGGGTGAACCGCAGAGAGAGCGGATCCTGCCGTTGAGGTGCTCTGTGCTATTAGTCTAGTTGGCAAAGATAAGACACCCGAGTTCCTCGTGCTGCGGGTGAAGGGCTTCACACAGTGGAACGAGCTTGTGTCGTTTACATGACTGTTGTACACCTGAGTTCGGCTCCTCTGTAATTGCCGGCTTTAATGAGTTTCTAAGCACTCCGCGGAGTCTATCAAAGTGCTTACGTGTTGTTCCTGTTTCTGTCGCTCGGGAATTCACTTAAGGATCTGGTTAGCCCTAAGGGAAATCAATCAATGGATCTGGAAGGCTGGGTCGAAGCCTCGCTTAATTGTTTGGGTCTCTACAGCCGGTGGCAGCCTCTTGCCTTGATAGCCAGAGAGACCGTCTGCCTATGTTCAGGGCGCAGGCTCAAGGGTTGACCTGCAAGGCAGTCCTTGCTGGCGCTGCCAAGAGGCAAACGTTCAAAACGAGATTGCGCGGAGGCTTTTGTGTCCGTCCTTGAAGGACAGTGCGGTGGAGCTCGCGCTGATCGGTTGGCGTCGAAACTTGCAACATGCAGCCCTGCCTTTTCGAACTCCGCTGAGTCTGCTGCTTTTCGTAAAGTGAAGAGTGAGGCGAGGGATAGACAAATGCGAATATTTATGCCCGCAATAACCTTAGTTCTCTATCAAGTGCACAAGAAAACGTAGGGTCGCTAATGACCCTCATGCTCACTTATACAGTTCTGACTTGTACATATGTTTGCACAAACATTGCAGTAGCTGATGCAATGATCAACCGCAGTCTATAATCAAATTTAAGGTGCCGCCGACAGTGCGCACGCAATGTACGATGAGGTGGTCCACACCATGTGCAGCCGCAAAATATATGATTGCGGTGCATGTACCAGCAGCTCCGACGTGTTGGTGCATCAGAGAGATCGATCACCTATAAACACACCTGTCAATTCCGGTTTGCACCATGGCGGCTGCTCTTGCATGCTGGCCGAAGAGCATACGTCACTCCATAACCTTTGTTTAACACTGCCATGAGGTACACCGCAAGCACAAACTAGTCCTTGTTAGCCTGCGTCAATGAATGGGCAGATTTGAGACCAAGAAGCGTCCGGCTGGAGCCGGCGCAGCATCCGGAGCCGCCGGTCCGTGCACGCCTCAGGCTGGCCCAGGGCTACCCAAGCGCGGGCTGCACTGCCCACCGATGACGAGCCGCGTGGGCGTGGGCCGCCCCTAGCTGGCGTGACCGGCCACGCCGAGTCCGCTGGCAACGTCATCACGGATTCAAAACCTTCCGGGGTCTGTCCAAACAGATACCTCAAGCAACGCGCAGTCTGCTAAATATCCACCTACAAGCCGTAACACCTTGCACCATCGGATGGCATACCTTGCTGCTACAGTGATCCACGCCGCAGTGACCTGCCTGCGTCAATTAAATAGGTGCTAGTGCGAGCGTCGAGAATGATGGTACCTAAGGGCGGTCATTTCCATCTGGAGCGGCACATCCGCCCCTCATGCTGGCACGCTGGGCAGCTGCTGCGACGCCCGCTCCTCCAAGCCGGCCTCGGGCGGACCTGCCGCGGGGCCTCCGCACGGCCACAGGCTGGGCACCGCGGCGGGCAGCTCGTGGACGGACGGCAGCGCCAGGTCGGCGCCCTCGCAGCGCTCCTGCCGGCCCACCTGCCACACCGCACCACACATCGAGACCGTGTCAGCTCATGGCGGGCACGAGCGGGGGGCTGCGGCCCCAGCCCAGACGGGGACCCCTGCCACAGGGAGTCAGAGGACCGTTGGTACGTGAAACACAAGCTGCGCTTCCCTTACAGGCCCGCCGCAGTGCTGCTGCGCCATCAGTGGCGCATGCGCTGGTGCCGCTGGGCAGTGGTGGGTGCCTCACCAGCACGGTGGCCAGCCCTGCCGCCTTGCCCGCGCCAATGTTGCGCAGGGAGTCGTCAAAGAAGAGGGTCGACCGAGCATCCGCGCCCGCAATGCACAGCGCGCGGGTATACGCCTCTGGCTGTGGTTTGCAGACTATGCGAGGGGGTCCCGATTCAAGCGCCGCCTGCAGGCCTGCCAGGCTGGCCTCCGCGCCCTTGCGCCCCGCACGTGCCAGCCGCAGGGCGACCTGCAGAGGAGCAGCAACATGGCTGGTGAGACCCATGAGCAGCGGGGCCAGTGCCCCCTGGTGGCTCTCAAGAGCAGGCGCAGCAGGCAGGGGAGGGGGGCTTGGGCGGGGCGCGCGGCGGGCACCTTGATGGTCTCAAGGGAGCTCTCGCGGCGCAGGGAGCGGGGGGGGTGGGGCTGGGCGCGCCTGAGCTGCAGGGGCTGTCGGAGGGGGAGGGGCAGGAGGGGGCGTCCTCGGGGAGGGAGGGGGTGGCGCTGCCGGAGGCGCAGGGGGACGGGTGGCCGGACAAGGAGGGGGGCGGGGCGCCCTGGATGGACTCAAAGCAGATGACGCCGCGGAAGCAGTCGGCCAAGCCCAGGATGTCGAGCACGCGCGCAGCATGCTTGGTGTCCGCGTTGGTGAACACCTGGCAGCAGAGGGAGCAGTGAGCGGGCAGCGGGGCAAGCAGAAGCAGGACGCAGCCAGGCACGCTGCGCAGAGGGTTCCTCCGACGGGGGTGGCAACGCCACAGAGCGGGAGAGGGCAAATTGCAGGTCATAAGCTCTGGGTGGCACGGCTTGCCAATGACGAGCAGGCACCAGGCGTAGAGTGGGGGGGACACTCACCCACTTGGTCTGGGGCAGGCTCTGGAGCAGGCGGCGCAGAGCGGGGTCTGGGGTGAGAGCGGTGGAGTAGGGCAGGCGGCCTGCACGAGGCAACGCAATGGAGCTCAAGAAAGGGGCGGGCAGGCAGACAGGCAGCCTAGAAGTGCACGCACTGGAAGAGGGCCAGCACGGGCAGAGCGCCGCGGTCGGGGGCGAGCTGCAGGTGGCTGTCGCAGGGAGGGAGGAGATGCTTGCTGACCGTGCACGTAGTCGTGCCAGTCGTCGTAGTCGAGGTGGTGGCCCACGGCCTGCAGGCCGGCCATGGTGGTGCCGTACTTGGAGTACAGCTCGCTGCACAGCTCATCCACGCTGGCCGCAGGGATGCCCAGCCGCTCCACCATGTAGTCTGCACCACGCAGCACGCACAGCGCGCATCAGCGTCGGCCAGGGAGCAGAGGGGAGCAGCGGGGAGCAGCAAGAGGGGACACGGAGCAGCCTGGCCCACAGGCGTGCAAGAGGCAAGGCGGGCACCAACGCCCACCCTGGATGTTGGTGCGGCAGGCGGCGGCCAGGCCGGAGCTGAGCGGGTACAGCGTGTCGTCCAGGTCAAAGAGCAGCGTCTGGAAGGGCCTCCCCGCAAAAGGATCGCCGCTGTTAGCGGACCTGCACAGGAAGACGGAAGTGAGAGTGGGGCACAGCAGCAGGGCGAGGCAGAGTGCCGGAGATGGGAACACGGCGAGGGGGCGGCTACACCACTACCGAGAAAGAGCACCGCAGGAGACTCACCCTTGTCCCTGGGAACCCATTGGCAACAAGCGCTGGAGGGCGGCTGCGGTTCCCGGGCGAGACGAGCACTTAAATTAGTCTTTAATGGCTGCACGGCACTAGCGTAGGGGCAGAGGAGGAACGGACTCAGGAACCTGCCCGAATCAGAGGGCGTCGCACCGCGGGGGTCACGGACAGTACTAGAGTCTAGTCCTACACCCCTACAGTCTACAGCAGCCTCGAAACGACGAATGGCTCATGAATCCGATATTCCGAATTGCAGGAGCGGAGTCATGGCTGTTGCAACTAGGACTGGCGGGGGCATGCATCGGGCCTCCCTGAACTGTAGAAAAGTTAAACTATAAAAGTTTGTGCTTGTGGAAAGCGACGCGTTGCAAATTCAACGCCGTCAACATGAGTCTGCGTCTGCCCCTGGTCCGCTCGGCTGCTGTGCAGACTCGTGCAGACAGTGCCACTTCGCCATGTCGTGAGGTCAGCTAGGACTCACCATTGCGAACGGCTGCACGAGTTCACTTGTGGCCTACGATTGCTGACGCGGGGGCCGCAGGTGGCATTGCCCTCTTCGTGTTTCTGAAGGCTGAAGGCATTGAGAGTAGCTTGATTGCTAGGCTGAAACTATGCAGATGCGGCAAGCGGGAACAATGCAGCTCTAACTTGATCATTGTTGCGAGCAAGAGCAATACCGGACGGCCAACGCGTTGCTGGCGGCCCTACAGAGTGGCCCGCCCCTTGGTTCCAGATCTCCAAGCCCCCAAGTGCCGCGCACAGCCCTGCATTGCAGCCGCCGCAACCTGACCTGTAGTTGCTCACCTTTCCGGTGTGCCCTTCTTCTGGTGCGCTCGCGGGCATGGCTGCGTCTGGTGCGTGCGTGGCCGGCCTGGACCTGCTGGCCGGCCCAATGATGGGGCCCACCGCCGGCAGTAGCGCTGCGCAATCCCCTCGCCGCCGCACCAGCTGGCACGGCGACACGCGGGGTGCGGGCAGAGAGGAGCGCGCGGGTCGGCCGCCGCGCAGCCCCGCAGGGCCGGCCCTGGGGCGCAAGATGTGGGCCCCGCCGCTACCGGAGCGGGGGGGGACAGGCCGCACGCGGCGCATGAGCACAGGTGGGGTTAGGGCGGAAGTGCCGCAGGTGGAGGCGCAGCGGCCAATGATGGACGAGCTGGAGCGCACAGCGGGGCGAGGCATGGACGAGGGCGCGCACGGAATTCTGGATGGAGGGCTGGAGGAGCTGCCAATCAGGTACGCTTTGCACAGTACAACAGCGCCAGATCTGGGTTGCGCTCTGCGGAGAAAGCGCCAGGAAGACAGGTGCCGTATGAGCGAAGCAGGCTGCGGGCTGCTTGCGGCAAAGAGGAGATGTTACTGCTGCAAGGCAGCTCCATTCTGCAGCTTGCGCGGCTGTCGTTGGGGCGCAGCGCTACTGTAGCAGGCCACCGAGACTCGTGTGCAGATCTATGAATGTTGTCTGATTGACATGCCGCAATGTGCTAGAAACGCTGCATACAGTGATTGCTCCCTGTGCGTCTCTGGTGCACGATTGCCGGGTGTCCTATCAGTGCCCCGGCGCGCCTTTTGGTGTTGCTGACTGTGCTGGTCTTGGCGCTGCGTGCAGGCACGACCTGGCCATGTGCGTGGGCGTCCACGTGTGCCCGCACCCCGATAAGGTGAGCGCGCCCAAAGCACGCCACAACCGCTCCGCCTGTTGCAGCCCGAAGCAAAGCCAGGGCAATGAATGGCCCGCGACTGGGCATCAGCGGAGTTGGTCTTCGGGGTGGTTCCCCTCCCACCTCGCCTGTCTGGCACACAGATGCCACACGGTCCACGGTGGGCTGTTGCAGCGGTGGGTCACAAACTGCGCGTGCGCACGTCCTTCTCCTTACTCACTGCAGCACGCGTGCGGGGGGGTGACATGGCGGTGGCGTTGCGGTGCAGGTGGAGAAGGGCGGGGAGGACGCCTACTTTGTGAGCGCGCGCGGCGGCGGGGTGATTGGCGTGGCGGACGGCGTCAGCGGCGTGGCGGAGGACGGCATCGACCCCGCGCTGTACTCGCGCGAGCTGATGGCCCTCGCGCACGCCGCTGCGGAGGCGCTGCCCGCCGCGGCGGAGGACCCGCGCTCCGTGCTGGAGGCGGCGCACGCGGGGGTGCGCGCGGCGGGGGCGTGCACGGCGGTGGTGGCGGCGCTGGAGGGCGGCCCAGGGAAGCTGCGCGTGGCGAACCTGGGGGACAGCGGGCTGCGCGTGCTGCGGGGGGGCCGAGTGTGCTTTGCCACGCCGGTGCTGCAGCACTTCTTCGACTGCCCCTTCCAGTACGGCTCCGAGAGCAGCGACAGCACGGCGGACGCAGAGGCGTTTGAGGTGCAGGTGCAGGCGGGGGACTGCCTGGTCATGGGCAGCGACGGCCTGTTTGACAACATGTTCGACCGCGACATCGAGGCCGTGGTCAGCCTCTTCAACGACACGCCGCACGCCGCCACCACCACCGGTGAGCCAAGGGGGTACCACAGGCAAACTGTGCTGGCGTGCTGGGGCGGCTCTTGCTGCTGCTGTGTTGGCGCTGCTATTGGTGCCGCAGGCTGGGGCCCCGCGCGGGGGTACTGTGGGTGATTGGGGTGGGCGTGGCTGACGCTGGTGGGTGGCGTGTGCGTGTGTGTGTGTGCAGCGGTGGCGCTGGCCAATCTGGCCAAGAAGCACTCCATGGACGCCGACTACGAGTCGCCCTACATCCTGGAGGCCATCAAAGAGGTGCGGCGCTCCCTGCAACCTGCCCGCCTCTCCTGTCTGAACCCATGGAAGGAGACGTGGACTCCAGCTTCTGATGCTGGACACCCACACTGTTTCGTCTGTCTTTCGACTTTGTGGCCGCGAAAGTGCCACTGCAAGTTGGCTATTCGAGCCCCGGTGGGCAATTCGATGGTCGGTCACAGGGTCACTTTACCCTCAAGTCCTGCTGGGTTACCACGTGACCAGGCCAAGCTTTTGGCTCTGCTTCGCGCATCAGGTACCACTCGGTGTGGGGGCTAGGGATTGGAATCTATGGTCCATGTTCTCTTCCCATCCGTTCTGTCTCTGCCCTTCTCTCAGCCTGGCTCCCCGTGTGTGGCGCGGCGCTGATGCGCGTGGCGGGGTTGCGTGCAGGGGTACGACGTGCCGTTCTGGAAGAAGATGCTGGGCCAGAAGCTGACGGGCGGCAAGAAGGACGACATCACGGTGGTCGTCGCCAACATCGTGGCCGCACCGCCGCACCCCTCCGCCGAGGATGACGACGCCGACGCAGCAGCAGCGGAGGACGACACGGGCGAGCAGGCGGCGAGCCCACCCCCCTTGGAAGCGGCGGCAGCAGCCGCAGGGCAGCACGCGGAGGGGGGCGCACACGAGGACGGGCAGCCCGGTGCCGCGGGCTGACGCGCGTGGGAGACGGCCCCTGTACAGAGCAGGCAGACGCGGGCCAGTCTGTCGACAGTGTGTATGACATGCGCGGTGTGCTGCAGGACATGCCCGGGATGCCTTGGGGTGGCGCTCATTGGGACCTGCGGCAGCCACATATCATAACGGGTTGTTAGCAAGCTGCTTCCGCTCTTTGGAGCAAGGAGTTGAATAATCAAGTATATGTCTAAAGGTGAACAAACAACCAGCTTGGGGGATGTAGGGTATCCAACTTAACCGGACATCACACATTGCACGCATATATGCGCATCGAGGCAGCAAATTGAACTTGAAGACCTCAACTAATACCGGTAGGTTTGCTGTCCAATTGTGTTTGGTTCACCTGCAATAGAGTTGAATAAGGCGTGGATGCAGACGGTTGAAGTTGGCTGATTACAAGCCAGCCTGCAGTTCTAAGGTTCGGGTATGTACATTCAGACACACGCCGCGCATGACGCTATCGACAATCAAAGCTTTCAACGTGGCAAAGTATTTGTATGTTTGTAGTCTCGGCATACTCGTCGCGAGGCCAATGATGCCTCGATGAATCATGATATTGACAATCTAGCGATCGAGGGCTTGAACAGCCAACTGTTGGGGTGCCATCATATATGTGGTGCGCGTCAGGAACTAAAAGCATCCAGGGCCGCACGCGGCACACAGAGGCCGCCCATGACCACGCTTCGTATACGTACAACTTGATGCTGCAGCATCATGCACATATGCACGTGATCGATTGATTGCCATACATAGGCTGCTACTAAGTATGCAACGTACATAGGTTAGAAGGACTTGCTTTGGTTTGTGTAAAATCCGCCGGCCTTGGCTAATGACATATCAATGTGTTAAGTATATGAATTGAAATTTGATTAACCCCTCAACTTTCAGTGCAAGAACGGTGCCGTCGCGCTGGCCGTGCGCAGCATGCATTGTCAGGGTGCGCTGCATTATGGTACGCGTGCGTATATACGCGCGCAGGCACATGACTAAGGTTGCGTACGTCACGTCCTTATATAATCTTAGCGCCGTCGAGCTGCATGGCTGGCCCCAAGCATGGTAGAAGTTAATCGTCCGAATGATCGAGTTGCTAGTCGTGTCATAAAATTGAAACGTATCCTGAACGATTGCGACGGGCCATATATAACGTTAGTACCATGCAATCTGGGGCATGTCATACATCATTATATGGCGTGACCGAACGTTATAGGATCAAACTTTCGATTTAGCGCTAGTAGCTTCACGCGCACCCGTCACACTATGCATGATGATCTCTTTTCACAAGGCCGTTTTCATTGAATC